CTTTTATTGTATATAAACACTAAAACCTTTTGTGTTTCACAGAAGAAATCATACACGTTTGATGAAGAATGTTTTTTTTTTTTTTTTTTTTTTTTTTAAACCATAAAAGACAATGGAAACAAATAAACAGATTTAAAACTTAATAAACTTTAAACAAATGAACTTTATCTGCTCAATATGTTGCAGATAAACCCAACAAATCACTCAGATCATTAGGATCAGCTTGAATAATAGGATTTATTCTAAGCATGGATAGCCTTCTTTTAGCTACTATGCCAGCCGCAGCTGGAACCAGCTTCCAGAGCGGATCAGATGTGTTCAATCCTGACTCAAAACACATATGTTTAGCTGTGCATTTACTGAATGAGCACGGCCGCGTCTGACTGTTTGTACTCTATTTTTTTTTTAAACTGTTATTGAATCACCATTGTTGTGTATGGAATGTGCTATATACATTAGCTTGCCTTGCCCTGGCATCAAGAGGCTAGTGACTGGCACCAGAGACTGTGGTCTTTCGCATCCTTGATAGCAGCGCCCGCCTCCCATGCCGGTTTGAGTCACGGGTGAGTAGGACCCGGAGGGGTTACATAAGTAGTTATATTTCAGATGTAACTCTTACATGTGTGTTATTTCTCTATTATTGGAAGCCGCTAATACTCTTGTCAATTTAGAAGGAATTGTGGGATTTGCAAAAGATTGCATGTCTTGCCCGTTGTGTGCAGGGGGTGATGAGTGTTCACTGCAGTTGCCTGGTAATTGTGCACGCACAGAGGCATTGATTGAATCGTTGCTCAACAAAGCAGAAACTGCTTATTGAGCTAATGTGCTAGTGTGTTGGGTTCAATTTCACAATGTCACTTTTAAAGTATAGACTATGGAGAGTGGTAGGCGTGTTAGAGCGGATTGGCAACACTTTCATGTTCATTTGTATGTGCCTGAACATGGAGCTTTCATAACCTAGCTTATTACTGTATAAGTCACAGACAGTCAGTGCTTTCTAACTATAAGTTTTCCTTTTTATATGCAGTGTTGCTCTCTCACTATTGCAAATCGCTTATCATTTATGTCTGTTGCTGCTTCGGTTATTTTCTGCTGGTAAAACAAATCAATCCTCATCAGCATAAAATCAGTTCTCTAGAATCTGCTGTTGATATATTGCGTGGTTGGCAGTTTATGGGTGCTTTGATTATTGCGAACACATGCACCAATATTTATTCACCTTGCCATTTTTGTCCTATCTCGCAATCTTAGCCTCAGATGTATTGGGTTGCTGTGCTGAGCGATTTTGAGAAGAATATAAACATTGGATTTAGCCGAGTTTTGTATGAGGCATTGATAACAAGTTTGATAGATAACGGAAATGAATAATATTTCTAGTAATTATGTATGTAATAGTATATTTATAACTTTTGGATGGACACATTTACACATACATACACTCTAAACAATGTTGAGTTGTTTGAACCTAAATTTGGGTCAAATGGACAGACCCAAATGTTGGGTTAAAAATGTATTTTGAAATTTGAACCCAACTTCAACTTTCATTTTCAACTGTACATTTTTAATCGCATTTTTAACCCAACATTTGGGTTTGTCCATATTTGACCCAGCATTTTTTAGAGTGTACACTACCATTTAAAAGTTGGTAAAAAAAAAAGGTATATATATATATATATATATATATATATATATATACTGTGTATATATATATATATATATATATATATATATATATATATATATATATATATATACTGTATATATATACTGTATTGTATTTCTGTGATGGCAAAACAGAATATTCAGTGTCACATGATCCTTCAGAAATTGTTTTTGGTGTTTAAGAAATGCTTCTTATTGTAATCAATGTTGAAAACAATAATTCTTCATAATATTATTGTAGCGGAAACCGTGATTTTTCTTTTTATGGTTCTTTAATAAATAGAAAGTTCAGTAGAACAGAATTTATTCGTTTTTTTTTTTTTTTTTTTTTTTGTCTTATTTCATTTTCGGTCTAAGCAGCACATATCTGCAACTCATTGCTTTACATGTTGGTCGGATGGTTTCTCAGGCTAGAATTAGCTGTAAATTGGACCAGATTTTGTCTTTAAATTATGTAATTTATTAGAGATGGGAGAAGAAAAAAAGTGTTGGAAAAATTTGAATTGAATTTCAATCCTCACCAAGTTACGTGAACAGGATTTGCTGTAATATTTCACTCTCTTTTTGTATCTCTATCTGTCTTTATCTCTGGTTCAGAGGAAATGTAGACAAAGAGAAGAGAAATGGAGTGAGGGTCATAGATGCAGACGTAACACGAGAACTATCTCTTGCTGTTTCAGCACTCGGGCAGGATATAGCGACCCTTAAAATGGTTAAAGCAGTCAAACTGCAAGGGTGGCACAGTCGGTCCTGTGAGTTATAGACTGAAGATGACAAATGCAGTGGGACCATGGGGAGAACAGTGTGTATGAGGGATCATCCAGGATCTGTGCAGAATACTTAAAAAGAAGTCCCTACTGGCATTGCGGAACTTTAAGAAAGAGAATTGTTATTATGAATTTATGTATATATAAAATCCAAATGAGTCAGTGGAGGGTTTTTTTTTTTTTTTCCATTTAAACAGTTCTGGTAGACCAGCGACGGGTGAATCTAGTTAGCATTTTAGCTCATGCCAGGCAAGTTAATTAATGTTTAAGGGAGCACTCTATTCAGTCCTGGTTAATATCACATAATCTCAAGTGTATATTTCTCTCACCTGCTTTACTGTCCATTAATATGTATGCTGATAAATATGTGTATGTGTGGGCAACACATGTCTTGCTCTCACATGCTCTGGCATGTGCAGCGATGAAACTACTCTCCTAATCAGTGCTGATGTAATCAGAAGTCAGCCCACCTATCTCACTCGCTGCCACTGTTTCAATGCACTACTGAGACAGATTTCCCCACTGCAGTGCACTCTCCTTGCTAACAGGTCATTGCCATTAGGATAGATTATCTTACAGTATGGGCGCTCCATTGCCCAACACTTTGTGTATACGCTTGTATACCCACAAACTAAATTGCATTAGAATAGCTGTCTTGGTCAAAACAGATCATTTACAGTGAATAGACTTGAAGGGATAGTTCACGCAAAACTGAAAATTCTGTCATCATTTATTCGCCGTCATTGTCGTTCCAAACCCATAAGACTTTTGTTCATCTTTGGGAGACAAATGAAAATATTTGTAATGAAATCTTAGAGCTTTCTATCCCTCCATTGACAGCTACACAACTACTTTGACGTTCAAAAAGTTCATAAAGAGATTGTGCAACTTTTTCCATATCAATTGAGCGGTTTAGTCCAAATTGTCCAAAGAGATTCAATCGACAAAACAGATTGGATTTAAATTTGGCAGTCTGGTGGTATAATAGATTTTAGATAAAAGGTTTTGTATGAAAGATTTGGGTTTTCCTCCAAAGTCGCCTCCTAGAGAACTGACTTGCCTGAGACTGATGTCAATATGTCTTGTATTGAAGTAATATAAATATTTTGAAGCTTGACAAATGAGGTTTTGTCAGAATGGTCAATTACAATGGTTTGTGATGGGTTTTATTAATGTAAATGGGTTGAAAATTAGTTTGAACAATTCAGTAATGCTTTGCACACACCATCATTTTCCAGTGTTATGGTATTATAGATATATAACTTCATGCTGCACTCTTACACTCTAAAAAATGCTGGGTTGTTTTAACCCAATTTTGGGTCAAATATGGACAAACCCAAAATGCTGGGTTAAAAATGTAATGTAAAAATTTAACCCAACGGCTGGGTTAGTCCATATTTGACCCAAAGTTGGGTTAAAACAACCCAGCATTTTTTAGAGTGTAGAAGAAAAGGTTCTATACAGAACCCATTTTAAGGGTTCAATAATAAGAACACTTTAGGGTTCTTTGTAACCATGAAACGGGTTCTATATGGAATTTTTTGGGTTCATTGATTATCATTTGTTTTGTCCTTTCCGGATTAAATATTTTATATTAATGACAAACATCAAAACCCTAAAACGTATTTATGAATGCATGTGAATGATCACAAAATTCAAGAAATGGGGGTTAGAAAATGTATATATTTATATAATTTTATGTACTTAATCAATATCACACGAAGAGTGCCATTCCAGTTTTTCTCCTCCAAAATCAGCATGATTAAAATGTGATATTAAGTTACTACAACAGTTTAATAAACAATAATTTAAATGTTGCAGATTAATGTAATATATGAATGAATAATAGCCTATAAAGAACATTTGTGCCAAAAGGGTACTTTCTTGTCATAATAGAACCTTTTTTAGCATAAAAGAGTAAAGAACCGGATGATTCATATATAGAACCCCAATGAACCCTTTTTTTTTTTTTTTTTTTTTCTAAGAGTGTGTTACTGCATGCAAATTGAAACCCTAATTCTGTATTTTAAACTTTTTGGAAGATAAAAAAAGATAATAATATGAATATAATAATGAATTCAGGATATTTATACATTACATTTTAAAACATTTTTTTTTAAATTATTTTAATGATTTTTTTTTTTAATGTTTCAAAATCAAAATACAGTAAAACAGTAATATTGTGAAATATTATTTACACATCATTTATTAAATTACTACATATTTAGAATGACTGTTTAGTATTGCAATACATTTTAAAATGCAATTAATTTTTATATGGAAAAAGCTGAATTTTATTATTATAGGAAATAATAATAAAATTCAGCTTTTCCCATATAAAAATGAATTGCATTTTATATATATATATATATATATATATATATATATATATATATATATTTTTTTTTTTTTTTTTTTTCTGATGAAGGACATGAAGTTTAGATAATATAATTGTTTTAATAGTAACTTTTTAACATGAACAAAAAAAATCTTATTGGATTTCTCTGTCACATATTAAATAATATGAAAAACAGTTTAAAACATTTCCTTTGTTTCATTCTTCCACTCTAGCCCTTCCAAGCTACACCTGTGGAAATCCAGGCCAGCTGCTCAACGGCATGCAGCATGGCTCTACTTTCAACATAGGGGACAAGATCCGCTACAGCTGCAACCTGGGTTACGTGCTGGAGGGCCACACTGTGCTCTCATGCCTGGCCACCTCCTCCGGCACCGCTGCCTGGGACTTCCCCCTGCCGTACTGCCGAGGTGAGTCCGGGGTGGGACTGAACCTCCTCAAGAGAGTCTCAAGAAAAGGCTACCAAGTGTCTTTTTCATGGCTGACAGATATCCCAGCATTTAGTGGCAGGTTGGCTGCACAGTTCTATTTTTCCTGGACGAGACACAGTAGACACCCCCGAGGTGATACCTGCCGACCTGTGAAAGCCACACAGGCATGTTGTGTAAGACAGCGGGGTCACGTGATAGCGTGTTAGCCGTTGCCTGAGGGGCAGGGATATCCAAATGCTCTCCGTCATGATACTCTCAAAACACGCTGACAGTTCGAGGCCAAATATTAACATGATGCGAGCCCCCATTGACATCTTAAGTTTAGTCATTTTAATGCAAAGCACAGGCCCATACATATGCATAAGTGAACTCTGTATATGCATGCGTTTATTTTATGAGAGGCATATTCACATATTCATGACAGTCTCATAAAAACATACACAGGTCTTGCAGTTAATAAAACAATGACAAAGTACTCCACAGATAATAGCATGTATAATGTATTAGTGCATATGCGAGGGCAATGAACAGTAGCTGCGGTCTCCAGATAGAGTGTGTTCTCGCAGGCCAGTATGAACCAGGGCCATCTGTGCCCGGGCTGGGGGACAGGAAGCCCACGTAAAGACACACATGCTCAGGCACGCAATGCCAGAAAGAGACCCCTTCCAATGCTTCCTCTGAATTTTAACAATCAAATATTTATGCAAATTTCTAGTTATTATTCTTTATTTGCATTCTTTATTTCTTTTTTTTTCTTTTTTTTTTAAGAAGGATAGAATGTGGTAATGGATTTTATTTTACTGTATTATTTTATTTCTTCTGGGTGTTAATATTGTATCTATTTATTACCATTTATTATGTTTTATTTGTTTTTTTTTATATATATCTATATATATATATATTTTTTTATATATTTATATATATATATATATATATATATATTCACAATATTTTAGAGCCACATTAAATATTAAGAAAAAGTAATCTCTAAAATTTTATAACTTTAGATGACACAGTAACCACAAACTTTAGTCTTTTAATTCTAAAACATTATTCTCATGATTTTTCCTTTATTATTAAAATATTGCAAATTCATACTTATGCTATGACTTTCCTATTTTTATTATCATTTTAATGTGGCCCTACATTCAATGGAACAGATTTACTATCTGCTTGCGCCAGCACAAAACCTCTTTTGCCGTTAAACTACTGTCAGGATTTACTACGCAGTGAAAAATTAGCGCTGAAAATGCATGGAAGGAGTTATTTTTGCGGCTGACCTTATTGCATATGCATTTGTAGGAGTTTCCCTTTCAGAAGCAAAATGAATGGGTCAAGAATATGTAAATTAATCATGCAAGGTGATTTACTAAGGTTTGGGTTTGTCAATTTACTGGTATCTGCACCATTATTTACCGCCCAAAAAAAGCATGTCTTAAACGCTATTTTGCGCTGCTCTTGGTAGATTGTATGGGTCATTATAGAAATGATTCGGCTGCGTCTGTGTTATTTAATTTCTGCGTCGTCAGTAGATCACGCACAGAACTGGATTTTTATTTTTTATTTTTTTATTTATTTTTTTTTTTTTTGGAATTGCGCTAATTTGCCCTGTTTAGTAAATCTGGCACTACATGTTCAGTTGGCTTGGAAATCATATCTGCTTTGTATCCTCTATCATCTTTTAGCTTTTATCTCTCTCCTATTTGAATGGGTTTTAGATTAATTAACCATGCAACTGCTGCCAAACGAATTTCTGCACTGTACTATCTAAATAATAATAATAATAAAAAAAAGCAAATCAACGGCCTTTGTAGTCGGCAGCAGATAGCCTCCTCTCAGACTCTGATTATGGGTGGCCAGAAGGTGGCAGGAGGTTGGGTCATTTTCCTTAAAGGAGTCACACAGTGCCAGAAAGGCTTCTTTGTCCCCATTAGCGCTCATCTTCCAGTCCTCTTCTTTTAAACACAACACTCAGACTCCAGTCTGCCTTATTTGCCATTTGCAATAGAGCATTATTATAAATATTTGATCTAATAAGCTTAGATGACTACATTTATATGCATTATACCCTCCCAAATGAATACCCACATTCAGATCTCTGGCCTCTAAGCCTCTCAGCATGGTCCATATCCACACATCCTTCTCAACCCCCTCTTCCACTCGCAATGTGCGAACACGTTCAGTATTTTGCATTCAAAACGTCAAAATGGCGGCCTGCTGGCATGCCACCCTCTTCTATGGCACACTGAACAGGATGATTTTTCCAAAAGGAAGATAAGAGAAAAGCGAAAAAGTTGAAGTCGGAGGGACTGGTTGGATCTGTTCTTCCTCCAAAATCCTTTTCTTTTGCCTATTGTTGTTTTGTATCAGCGCTGGCTCTCGGGTCTCAGGGTGCCGCTCCACACCACTCGCTGGTGTGTTACCATGGCAGCTACAGAGCCCGAGGAAGGCAGTATGAAGAGATGAAACACAAGCAGGCCATGTTTTGTTGGGGCTTAGATCTTTATGCATCACACATCATCTGTTTATCCAAGCCAATTTAACAAGTCATATTGACATTAAAGAAACTTCCTTGGGCAGTTCAGAGGTCTGCTTATTAATAAAAGCGGTAGTTTTAAACTAAAATTTTGTTACTTATAGTAGCTGTCAGGAAATGGGGGTGCTTTGATTCATACCATGATGTTTTTTTTTTTAATACCATGATGACAATGCCCTATACTCTAGATTATTGTACATTGTACTTACCATTGCATTATACTGGTTTTGCTGTGATAATACCAATAGGTTGTTATGCTTCATCATAGGTGTGTATACTTCTACAAGGATGAATGATAGATTGACAGCAAATATGATTTTTATGTTTCCAATTGCTAAAATAGAAAAAGTAAAAAAAAAAAAAATAGAAAATAAATAATAATAATAAAAAACAATGATGCTGTTCCCATGACTTTCCAAAAGAAGTAATAAAACTGATTACGACAGGCAGAAGAGAGCGAAAAAATACCAATTCACTGTTACTCTCATTAGAAACTCTCTTGTAGACATTAACTTTTTCTCTTTTTTTTTAAATTTAATGGAAAACTACTTTGCTTAAAGCTACACTGAGTAACTCATTAAGTTTATTCTTAGCTAAAAACACTTAGTTATTTCAAAAATATATGTGCTCATTAATGTATATTTACTTCGTTCAAGTAATAAAGTATTCTCGTGAGTGTATAATATGCCATTGAAAATACATATGGGTAAGGGGTTCTAATGTCGGTCGCCATGTTGCTCCTCCATCTTGAAAGTACATTAGCCAAAGAGGGACATACCCATTAATTCAAGCTTCGCCTTTCACGCTTACGTTTCAGTTAACACTCATGGACGAGGTCGAACTGGAAGCCATGTTAATCTTGGACTACATTGGCCACCGTAGGAGTTGAAACGAAATCGGAATTGAGAGGAACAGAAACTAATATTCACTGGATGGTCATATACATTTTCACCGCTAGATGGGGGTAAAATCACACACTGTAGCTTTGAGGAAAAGTTTGAGGTCGGTCAAAGTTTTTAAAGTTGTTTTTGAAAGAAGTCTCGTATTTTCAAGGCAGTAAAACACTCCTATTGTAAATATGATTACCATTTTAAATAACTGTTTTACATATCAATATATTTTATGGAATGTATTCCTGTGATCAGGGCCGGCCCTGACCAATTTGCTGCCCTAGGCAAGATTTTACCTGGCACCCCATGCATTACAGCCCACTTCACCCCATCATCTGTGTTGTTGATTATTTAGTCATATATATATATATATATATATATATATAGCAAGAGCTTTACATCTAGCTAGCATTCAAGTCAAGTCCCCCTTTATTGTTATATAGCGCTTCTTAGCCAATAAGATAACAATACAGATATTTCAAGCAGCCTTACAGTGATAACAGGAAAATAATGCAACAAAGTTGTTTTTTTTTTTGTCACCTGTACAGCAGATCTAGAAGAAAATAGTGTCATAATCAAGCTTAAGTATGTTCAGTGAAGGTTTATTTTATTGTTTTTTTTAATTTTATTTATTTATTTCATTTACATATAGCCGCTCTAGATAAAACAGTGATGTCATGTTCCAAATGTAATTCATGCACAAACTATTCATTGAGCACAAACAAAAGTGTTTGTTTGGGAGTTGATGGCAGCAATCTTCCACTAAATTATGGCACGTTTCATGTTTTCAACACGAATGAAATTGCTAAATGTCTTTAATGTGAATGTTACATGAAACATTAGCTACTTAATAAACGTGTAGCCTATAAATATCATTATTAATTTTTTGCTAAATAAATAAAAAATGCCATATCTTCCAACTGTATAGTAAAACATTACATAATAAAAGTGATAGTATGCATCTAAAAAAGACTGACGTGTTTGTTACAAATCGCATTGTCTGTCTGGGGGCTCTGAAGAACTCAGAACCAACTTACTGTTAACATAAAGTTATAAGGTATACAAATAACTGCTATTAAATTATAGCATCTTAACACTATGCAATTAGATAAACTGCTCATTCATTACATCACTTTACCTCTGTCTTTATCCCCTTGTATCCTCTTCTTTTTGGCAGTGTATCTATCGCAGCAGACTATAATGTTAATTTAAATGTGTCATGGAAATTTGGCCATCGGTCACAATGAGGAAACTTTCACCTTGTCTAGATGGCTGCCAGGCCCGTTTCTAAGGGAGTGCTTGAGTGTAAGCGCCCTCAAACGAAAGCAATGTATGCTACATTGGATGCGGCGAGGGGCGACGCTAAACAACAAATGACCAACAGTAAACTGATCGCGCGCGCTCTGTTTCTGCCGCACTTCAAGCACTCGTTGGGCGGGGGGAGATTGATGCACCGGACCGGAGTCGGGGGACTTAGTTAAGATTTTGTGGAGCTGTTTTGCTTTATTTTTTAGTATTTCGAATTAATGGTTTTAAAATAGTATTAGTAAAAAAAAAAGTTCACTCGATCACTCATTTTGGCGCCCCCTGAGTGGTAGCGCCTTTAGCATTTGCCTATACCGCCTATGCCACGGGCCGGCCCTGCCTGTGATGCAAAGCTGAATTTTCAGCATATTACTCCAGTCATCGTCGTCACATGATCCTTCAGAAATCATTTTATATACTAGTTTGGTGTTCAAGAAACATTTATTATTATCATTTATTGCACTGTAACACTATTAATTTACCTTTTTTTGAAAGCACACAAAGCAAAAATCCGATTTTTAGTAACGCTTTTAGATTTTTGCACATTCTAAATCATTTTTACAAAGCATTTTATAAACATTAGCAGTTTAGACATGAAGTCACAAAGTCTCAACAAGATCAAACGACCAGACTGAGAGGCAGAGCTGAGGCCAGTGATCGGCGTGTTCTACTGAAGTGTGAAGGAAACTCTCTGCTGGAATACCAATAGCCGGTCCTCCCTTCGAACCCTCCCTCCCTCCCTGCATCCATTGCACTTTTTTTCCCTCTCCATCCCTCTGTTCTAGAGCTCTCAGAGGCTTCTCCTCACATATGCTCTATGTCTCTCCGGGGAAATGTAAGAGTGACGGATCCGACAGAAGACTGACAGGGCCCGGGTCCTCCCGCCGTTTTCCACTCACAGAAAAGAAATCATGCGATTAGCCAGTCACCACTAATGAATCCCATGCTGGCCTGTCAGAGAAGAACTCATCACCCATCAGTGACAAGCAGGCTCCTTCACCTGTGTGAGACACACACACTGCACTGGCTCTGACATAGAGTTTGTTTATTTGGTTGGTGAGAGACAATTTTGCTTGCTAGCTAGGTGTGATGACTCACTTTTTCTCTCACGTTGTCTTCCCTCGCACAAACTCACACACAAACGCCAACTCATACGCCTCCTAAACAAATCTCCGATCACTCTCTTTCCCCCTCAACCCTTCTTTTACCCCAGAGAGGCTTCTAGTTATCATTATGAGTCACTCACTCACTCACACAGAGTCTCTTTGCTCCTTTACTTGCCTGGAAGGCAACATATCCACTTGGCATGCACCCATAATTCAGAATTCTTCTGTAGCTATCAAACTGGAGGCTGTACAAAGTCTTTGCAAGCCACATTTTTATCGCACGTGTGATGAATGGCCTGCTTTTTGAACTGTAGTACAAAAGAAACCTTATTTAAAAATATATACGGAAGTTTAAGTATAAAATAGTTATGTTTGATTGAACAAGAGATTCTTCAATCCTGAACAAGACATTATTTGGACAAGACTCTGAAAACTATTATTATTTTATTTTATTTTTTTACTTTACACTCAACTTGATATCAAATATAATGCTAATAATATTACATTTTATCAATGTAAAATAGAATGATGGTCTCAGACATTTGGACCTTTGTAGAATTGCATATTAAATAAACGTGTTTCAGGATAGATGCCGTACTGAATATTACTTGGATGGAAGTTGAGGCTGTGATGGATAGACAGCAGTCACGTCATGACATGCACTATTTAAAGATCCTAGATGTAATTTTCAAGACTTACAACTTTCAAATATGTGTTTCAAAAAGGTTTTTGGGAAGATGTTTCAGCCACTGAACACACTTCTATCCTTTACAGCCTTGTCTTCATTCATGTCAAACAATGGCACTACCCTGACTAAGGTCTCTGGAGATGACCAAACCTTGACACTGCAGCTAAACCATCTCAGATTATATATGATTTCTAAATCATATATATGATTGGAATCTTTGAAGAGTTTTTCCAGCTACAAAACAGCTTCAAGATACTGCCTGTTTTTTTTTTGTTTTTTTTTTTTCATTTTTTGCATTTTGCGAAAGAAACAATGCCTCTTTAGGTGGTGTTAAGAATATACTTTTTTAAAAGGATGTCAGGTATCCAGACTCAACTTTTCTCCATGTCAAGAAGTTTTGATTTCTTACTTTTATCAAGGGAGATGTGCATTAAAAAAAAAATAAAAAAATGAGGAAGGGAAGACAGTGGGTCTGTTGCTTTGCCTTCACCCTCAGTTGGCTCTGCTCTTTTTTTTTTCCTCACCTCACGGACTCGCTGTCAGGAAGAAAGACTGAGCATCAAGAGAGCAAAAAATAGAGAGATTGCATTTGATTCACGGTTAGGAGAGCCATGGGGCTCAATTACCACAGCAGCCTTTAAGTGCCTATTTATTATATAATCGTCTCCTTAACACACTTTTAAGGAGTAGAACTGGTTTTGACTAGAAATAATTAACAAAATTTTACATAGATCTCAGTTAATTACCCCCATGTTACAATGTGTTGCATCACTGGCCTGCGAGTGTTGCCCGAAACCTCAAGACCCCATTGTGTCGTGGCATCGTATCGTTTTCCTATTTCCAGCCATTTTTCTCTAACAGAAGATCAAGGAAATCGATTTTATCCAAGTTAAACTTGTCTAAATTTGTGTCATCTCTTCACAGCGGACGATGGCTGTGGTGGCACACTGCGGGGTCAAAGCGGTGTCATCACCAGTCCAAATTACCCCCAGGATTACAACAACAACGCAGACTGCACCTGGACAGTGCTAGCCGAACCAGGTGACACCATTGCCCTGGTCTTCTCCGATTTTCAATTGGAAGAAGACTACGATGTTCTGGAGATAACCGGCACAGAAGGATCCTCTCAGTGGTGAGTGCCCTAACATTTTTTTTTTTTTCCTGCCATCTCTGAGAAAACCAAAGAATCCTGATTATTGTATGCTCCGCTAAGCAGCGCGAACGCTTGTTGTGGTGCTGTTGGCAGTGGGTAGGTGTTTTACGAAAGAGGAAGCTTGGAGAACCACAGTCATGAAACATCTCAGCACTTGTTCAATGGAACATAACCAAATTACAGCTTGATTCAATTATTGAGCACATAATGCGCACAGAGCTAGGACCAAATAGAGGAGATAAAAACGTTGCAGTCCATCGCAAAACCTTGTCTGGGGAGCACCGGAGTACTGTTCATTTATGAAAATGGTTTTATGGGCCTCTTAGCCTCCGCTTTCACACAATTTTCTTTTCACACCCATTAAGTACTGTAACAGGTTTTCAGAAATTCTTATTGGATCAGGACGGGGACGTTTTTATTCTATCAGGATGTAGACCTAAATGTGACATTCTTCTAATGACAGAAGGTTAGGTTTGAATTTAAAGGATGGTAGTGTGTATTTTTTTTAAGAATATGCTAGAATACTTAATATGTAGAGACAGATGCTAGTTTTAGGTTCACTCTACAGAAATTATAGAAATTACACTGACTCGACCTTTGATCTGTTGATGATTGCGTATGATACTTTCTGATCCATGTTATTGTATGTGTTTGTCCGGTCCCACTTTATATTAAGTGGCTTTAAGTACTATGTACTTACATTGAAATTAATAATTTGATACAGTGGACTTATTGTTTACATACATGCGGTTGTAGTGGGGCTTTGCTGACTTAAAAATGTATTGAATTAATATATGAATTGCATTTGCACTAGGTTTAATACAGTTCCATTAGTTCCATCCAAACATAGCTGAAGCAGCTTTTTTGTTTTCAAATGAGAAGAGAACCAATTTAAAAAAAAATGTTGTTAACACTATTTATAATAAGGTTTTATTCATTTTATTTATGCATTTTGTATCATGAACAAACTTTTTTCAGCTATTGTTAATCTATGTTAATTTAAAAATAAAATATTATTCATTGTTATTTCCTGTAGTTATTTTTTTTTCATAATAGATTAGCATTTCCCAAAATGTTAAAAGCAAACTGTAGTACTAACTAACATGATCCTAGATTAATAAATTCTGTAAAATTGTTTGTTGTCATTTCAAGATACCTAATGTGTTAAAGGAGAACTCCTGCGCAAAATGAACCTTTGGTCTAATAAAACATCGGTACATAGTCAACCGTTCTCTGAAATTTGTTTTCATGATAATCGAATGTAAAGAGTTTTATCTCTAAAAACTTTTTAGTGTATAATGCTAGTACTGGGGGCATTAACTAAATAAAATGGAATCGCTACAGTAGTTTATACCACTAACAAGACTCAAAATAGCCCCACACTAACACAGTAACATAATGAGGGTCGCAACTCTAGGTCCTCTAGGTCGCAACTTTAACAAATTGAACCTCATGATAAGGTGTTGCCATAATGTCACTAATTTTTGTTGTTGTTTTTGTAGACTGTTTACACACAGCTTTGAAAGTATTGAGAGTGATACAATAAAGACTCATTGGACTACCATGGGGATTTTGAGACTATAGATTCGAAACAATGAGGCCCTTAAGTGGCATATAAATGAACATCCTCCTTGCTTCTGGCGTCCAGACCTATGCATGCCTAGGTCTTTATTGAGCTGTGACGTCCTGCACTGAAGTCATGAGGCATAGAAGTGTGTTTGCCTCTTCGATAAGCTCTCTTAGGGTCAATGGAGAGTTCTGAAAGAAGGTTGTTTCTGGCCAGAGGAGGCAATCGATAGACCCCACTTCTCTCTGTCCCCTTGCTGCCACCATGCATGGGGTCACTCCTAAGCCCTTAATTAAACAGGCAATTATCAGAGGGTGAGGAGTGAGCAGACGGAGAGAGGCGAGATGGTGTCGTTCGACCTTGGCATGTTCTAGAAGCCTCAGGGAGTGTAAAATAAAGAGGGAACGAATGACCAGAACTTCATGGGCAATTAACCAATGAAAATGGCCAAAAAATAAGAATCAAACACAGTCAGAGCGGCCAATTGCAACACAACACCAGGCGGAAAGCCAGGTTGGTCTATGTGGGATTGTATGAGTTGTTATGCCTATCTAAGGGTGGATTACTGTTTTTATTATTTAACTGCTGGAAAAGTAGAGCTCTATAAATTTTGTGATGCAGAAAACGCGGATGAAATTGTGGAATCCAGTCCTAAATATGTCATTTATGATGCGGAATGTCATACAGTAAAATTAGGGATTTTAATATTGATATTATAACACCAAAAGACTGTCATTTAAAAATGACATATACGTACTGTGTATCTCTGTGTGAATGTGGCCCTGTTTACACGAGAACACTCAAAAAAAAAAAAAAAAAAAAAGTGATTTCATAAGGCCCTAGAGAATTCATTGGCATTTATTTGCTAACGTTTGTCTGCACGTATGTAGTTGGCAGTCTGGCTACTGTAGGTTTGAGTAGGATGATTTACAAATGTGGATGTGTAGAGGTAAATGACACATTCCTCGGATAAACAGGAGTCTTGTATATGAAGCGGTCACCATTGAAGACACGCCACCGGAAGGAGGGAAGTCAAAGGCTGCATGCAAAAATCAATATTCAAGTGATCAGGAAGAAAAACAGTGCTGCTCTGTGTCAGGACCTGTTTCTATCACCCTGAGCATTTGATTGGCACAAGACGTGTCGGTGTGCTGTGCAGGGCCCAGCAAACAACACTGGACACTCAGTCATCTGCCTGCCTATATTGAGTAGGGCAGCAGGGTTACCCATGAATCACTCCAAAGAGCCTCTCATTCCCTATCGTTCTCCTTTAGCACTGAGCGGCAGAACACTGCTATATCAACATGGGATTATTACTCAGTAAAACAAGTTATCAAAAACACTAGAAGCAGATTCGAATATGCACAATATTAGCTTAGTCGGTCTTATTCGGTCTTGTTTCAGTTAGTTTAACTTATTAAAAAATACTAGACATGACTTTGTGGGATAGTGCTTATGTTCTGACACGTTGCTGTGCTTATTAGGGGTGTAATGGTTCTAAAAATTTGCGGTTCTATATGATACAGTGGTGACCCTGTACGGTTCGGTTCGTTTTCGTAACATCAAAAAGAAAGAAATGTCCTCTTTTTTTATTTTTTTTTATTAAAACTAATATCATAAAGTATTATCGTTTTTACTTTGAACAATGATGGAACTATACTTGACTCTTCTTAGCAACATAAAAAAAAAATGTAATAAATAAATAAATGTCATATTGCAGTAGTTACAAACACAGGTTTATTTTATTATTAATATAATAATTTTATTAATATAATTGTATTTTTTTTTTAAGTTTTGCAAGGCTACAGATTAACATTTTTGGGTAGCAATTTTATTCGTAATGTTGAAATAATAATTCAAATTCAAAACATTTATTATTAAATATTTATTATTAAATATTTGGGAGTGGAAATGGCAGCTACCTACTGTTACAATAGTAATTTAATGTATTTTATTTTTAATTAAATGTGTTTTCCTACATTTTGAAACTTATAAATTAAACTAGAATGTACATTTCCAGAAGAAAATGTGATGTGGTGCTTGCAGTGGCAAAACTCACCACCCGGTTGCTAGGGTGTTATGGGTGGTTGCTACGGTGTTCTGGGTGGTTGCTAGGGTGTTCCTAGGCAGTTGTTAGGGTGTTCTGTGTAGTTGCTAGGGTGTTGCTAGGTGGTTTCTAGGGTGTTTTGTAAATGTGGTTAATTTTATAGGATGAACAATGTTTTAGTCATCACATTAAAAATTACATTTAAATATGATATTGAGTTGAAGTCCTGGAAAAAGATGTGGCTTAATTGAAAGCATGTTCAATACAATACAATTTACGTTTATGGTGAATGTTGCTGATTTATGGACATAAAGTCTATAACTAGTTCATTCATGATATAGTATTTCTCCTTGTTTCCACGTCAGCACTATTTGATCTAATATAGAGATTTGGTTAGTAACTGAGAAATGTGAATGCATCTCACTAGATCTCTCAGCAATGCCAGTATTTCTGTGGCAAATTGAAATGCTTTCTTTACTGGATCTCATAGCGCTGTGTATTAACAATGTTGTTTGATCTAGATTGTATATATATATATACACTGTATATATAGCGGACTTGGATTTCCTTTGACGGTCCAGTCCATCCTAAATGTGTTCTGGGATTTGTTCTGGCCATTTAAGTTCACATACACACAACTCAGAAATCATTAAAGTATGGACCTTGTTTTGTACACAGGTGCATTGGAATATTTGAATAGATTGCCCTGAACTGTTGCCACATAGCTAAAATCATGCAGTCCTTTTAAAACGTCACTGCCGTAGCATTAAGAATTGTCTGTGCTGGAATTTAGCTGCATTACCAGTTAATTTAAGAGGATGTCCACATACTTTTGGCCATGCAGTGTAGTTTAATGGACCGTTTGGAAAGGCTTTGTGTTTATCAAAGATTTACGTTTGAGCACAATGTGGTTTTCTAATCCACACATTTTTCTCTCCCTCCCGATAATTCAATACATCAGAGATCCTTAAGTAGTTGTTTGTTTTTTTGCAGATCTGAGGCATTCAGTCCTCTCTGAATAACCTCTCCCTGATCTCTTGTTACTCTGCAGGGTAGAGAGCAAAGAACAGGCTGGTGTACTGTACCTTAAAGCTGCCATAAGGGTTGTTTGTTATCAATGCATCTAAGCAATGCTTTCTTCTTCTCTCTTTCTCTAACTAACCAGAGTCTCTATCTCTACATCTCCCAGGAGACTGACTGATGTTCAATAACTACTTGCGTTATTGATTACCTGTTTCTTCTCAACTGTGAGAGAGACTGGTATTTATAGAAAGCACTGGATTTTTAGGATGGATCCATGGCTCGGAAGGTTATTCTGCAACCTGCATTTTTTTTTTTTTTTTACCTTTTTGAGAACATAGTGTT